TTTTTTTTTTTTCGTGATTATTTGGAAAGAGAGGAAAAACCGCAAAAGACTCGTATGGAATACGAGACTTTATGTGTGCAGCACAATTGCGATATATTGAATTATTGAACAACAGTTGAGTATTTGGGCAAAAGAGAATTTTTCTTTGATCAGTAATATGACAACTGAAAGCTGTCTTTACACTTTTTTTTTTTATTGGTCGTATTAGTGCAGCTTTTCTATACAAATTTAATGTTGCAACTGTTGCAACTTTTATCATCAATTTTTTGTCTCCTACTCATGGTACAGTTATCAAATCTATAGCTGCATTTAATTTTGTTGTGTGTTTTATTTTCAGTTATATTAAATTGTTAATCTATTGGCGATGCAAAAAAAAAAAAAAAAAAGTTAAGAAATCTTGACTAGTATAAATATTTTTAAAAATAAGAGATTAATCTAATCTTAAAAACTAATGTTATTAATGGCTGTTACTCATCAGCAAGATATAGCATTTTAATTGTGAGGAAGTACTATAGTTTAAGCTCATAAGCTCAGCAATATTCAGTTATTTGTGCTCATATTTATTGCTCTCTGCTATTTACGTTGTCGCTAATCAGTCAAACTACAGTCAAATATAAACTAACCAACATTTTTTTCTGAATTTTTAGCCTAACATTTTCTGTTACAGTATTTAATTATTCAAGTAGATGCCTTTTTTAGTAGTGATGTTATGCTGCAGTATCAGATCGGTAAAGAAAGTCTCCTGTAGCAACAGCTCTCAGTAAACCCATTTTTCTTAGAATGCAAATGAACGACTTGTTCTTAACGATTCAACGGGATTCTTCGGGAATGCAGCGCCGTTCAGTCTAGACTCTCCAGCTATTTTTTGATCAGTTAACTTGGCGCTCCATAAATTGTTTATTTCAAGAGCGAAATACGACAGAGTGCCAAATGACGATGGCGAATTAAATTTACCAACATTCCCGATCATAAACGATTTGGATCAACAACAAATGTTGACGAAAAAATTCGAGACGACGACGAAACGTCATTAAAAAACCGTTGAAGGAGGTGTTCTCGGGAGCTTAACCGGTAAAGGAGCACTTCGGAAAGGTGTGTACTGTGAGAGCGATTTTTATCGAAGTATAAAGGTCGTAAGATGTACTCGATATTTCCACTTTTTAAGTTGTATGGTCTTAAAGTGAAGTAAAGTTGAGGGAAATTTTTTCACTTCTATATTATGAAATCCGTGAAATCGACTTAACACATTTGTTAATCTGCATTGAAGACTGATCATGCAGACATTAGCTGTCATGTAGAACTGCGTCCTTCACCAATTATATACGGCAATAAAAATTAAAATTTGCTTCAAAGTTTCTAGATCTATTGCTCTCTTCGCTAGCTTAGTTGTAGAAGTGTTGCTAAGTAAAAATCTAAAATAGCCAGAGGGACTGGAATCTAGGTTAAAAGATTAAAAAGCTTAAATGGTCATCAGTTTGCAACTTTTTGTGAGATCACTGACAATTGGTACGATAGAAGCGTCGGAGAAGTAATCAACCTCAGAAAGAAGCAAAGGTTGGCATAGTGACCTGGAAATATTAAAAATTGTAGGAACAAGAAAATTGACTTTTTTTAAAATGCTGACCAATACCATTTTGAAATACAATAACGAAAGATGCAGAGAATTGAAGACATAAGGAATTAATTGTAATAGTCTTGTTGTCATTAGTTTTCTGTTAAGAAGAGCCTTATTACCGATAACGTTGTACAGTTTCAGCGTCAGGAAATTAAAAAGAGGAAAGTCACAATTGTCAAGCTCTGCGGAGTACTCAAACAGAAGATGTAAACCCTTTTTGAGCCTTTATCCTATCACTGCTCCACGGTCTCATCTCCTTAACGGTCTTTTGGCTTTATTTTAGTAGATTCGCCGTTCCTGTTTTTCAATAACAGTTTCCGCTTAAACAGTGGCAGTTCTAAAAAACGAGGTGAACTAAATCCCAAATTTAAGTTTTGGCTAACTATTTTTAATTTGACCTTGTTTCGTTCATCAACGCAGTTCTCATATCAGTGGGTCGTCCTTTTCATTCCCTTATTTACTTTTTGGTTCTGGTGAAAGCTTAAACCATAAAGAAGGCTTGGCAATAAGTAAAAATTTTAATTGGTTAAAGTTTTATTACGTAGCAAATCTGTCTCATATGTCTATTTGTTTCGAAGAATTGGTATTCTGCTCGGCTCAAATGTCACTCTGTGTAAAACTTTAGCTCAAAAAGTAGGGAGTGCACAAAGAAGACCGGAAATAGGATAAAATATTAATCGGGTTCGCTAAAAAGCAAGATAGCTTTTTGACTGGTTAAGTTTTTTAAACAATAGTCTTCTTTCTACGGTGCTTCAAAAAAGGCGCAAATTACTTGTGCGTCATTTTTCCCACTTTTTTCACAATTGATCTCAGCAGTGTTTTAAATTTGAGGTCTTTGAATTCTTGATAAACTAATCACAGCAAACCAATTCTATTTTTCGTTTTGGATTTCAAGTTATTTGTCAGCGTATTTGCTAATAACTTTGTTATCAAAATCTTAATCTCAGTTTGAGCAGTAACAGTCATAGTAGTAGTGCATTTCAAGAATTAATTTTACAGTTAATTTTGCTTGTAAAATCACCTTTTTTTTGGTGCACAAAAAATCTCAAGCAATAGTTTGTTACTGTGTAGTGCAAGAAGTTTTAGACTAAACTAAAGTATGCCTTTCTACCGTTTTGAACATCAAACTACTTTAAGTTGACCTGATTCACCAAGCTACTTACTTTAGCGTGGTCACATTAGCCTATGTGATCTAAGAAAGATATTGGCTTAATTGTAAAGGTACCTTTTCAGTTGCATCGTTTTTCTGTCGTTCTTTACTGCAAAAGTTTTCAATACACTGGTTGCACTTTTTTTTGTTAATTTGCATATTGTTTCTTGATTTATGCACAATTTTAACTTTTGCTCGAACAGCCTACATTAGTTTTATGACTGGTGGTACCAATAATTTTAGTGTCTTACACGGACCGTTAAATTATAGCGCTAATTCTTTAGTGCTTCTGCTAAGCGTTATATATTTTGTTAGTTTTAGTGCTAACCATCTGCGGACTGGGCTAAACACTCAACAAATGTCATGCTGGTCTATCGTGCTTTTTGTCAACACTCAGCTGTAAAAAACGAATGTCATTGTCTCCTACTCTACTTCATTTTCTTTTTGAGCATAACCACGGATTCACCTTACACTGTCGTCTAAAATATTTGAGATGCGGGATCTTTTCTTACTTTATTTTGACTCTACAAGAGGATACTATACTATATCGGTCAGGCACGATACATTATGACTTCGTATAGGATTAGATATTTGGCCATAATTTTCATGTAATAGTGATAACTAAAAATTTTTGTTTGTCTCTAATTATTAGGTCAAAAAATTCTATTCAGCATGACAGTTTGCAAACGCTTTTTAAGGTGGTTTACCGCTGATGTTAAACCATTATTGAAATTAAGGATTTCTGGGAATTCTGTTCGCAAAAAATCACTTTTTACTTGATTTTGAGAAGTATAAAAGACAACACAAAAAAAATACTTTGTTGACCATTTAAATTATACGGGCAGGAAGAGCCTGGCTTAGTATCCCGCGACACCGCGATATCAAAAAACAGCGAAGTAGTGAGTGGAAAGCTACTCTGCAGACAAATTCTTCTGTAAATTTCAGCCACAGTGCCGCATTCTATCAGGAGTTCCTTTTTAGTGACTTCAACTCTAGCAACTCAATTTTTTCGCGGTATCAACTGCCAGTACCTTTTCACCCTGTTAGACGTCTGAGTTAACTTTGTTAAAACAAGACAAAAACAGTACGGCGCGCTGTGGAAAGTTTCTTGCTTTTTTTAATTTGAACTACCTTTAAAAATCGTCATGTTCTGTGATGTTTTGTGAAACCTTGTTTCTTTTGTTGACTTTTTCTTTATCCGGATATTGTTGTTGATAGCACTTCTGCGAATGTTGCTTTACTTCATCTTCTGTTTTGGGTGTAGCAAACAATGGAGCGAAGTAGGATAATAATTGAAACTGGTCAGCAACCTGACACATACCTGGCAATCCTCTTTGGCTGGGCTGGGTGTAAGGACCGTTACCTGTCAAAATATTCGGAAATATATAAGGATGCTGGGTTAGAATATTTACGATTTACATTGCAAAGTTTATTCTAATGAGCACGTTTTATTAGTGGTTATTTTGTGAAATAAAATTCACAGTAATGAAACTAGTAGTTTCAAAAAATCAGTTGGCACAGAGAATTATGGAAGGGTAAAGAAAATCTTGAACACAGTTATGTTATGTAAAGATCTGTATTATTACTGAAACCGTTGATCGATCTAGTCAAATAAATTGTTTTTGTATTAAATTTTGAGGATAATCGTTCTAAACAATAACGTCATTTTCAACTGTTTATTTTTTGTCTAAAAAATTATTGATTTCATAATCTGAAAACTGTTTTATCGATCTTCGATTTTAATTTCTTGATCACTATACCAAAAATTTTTAGTGTTAAAACCTGCAGCTTAATTAAATTAGGTAGTCTGTCATATAACTCTTATTCAATTTTTGCTGCTTGCTTGAAAAAAAATTCATTTTTATATAGAAAGCTGGAAGAAAAACGTTGATTTTGGTTTTTAAAACGCAAAAATTCTTTTTTCTTGAGAGTTTCTTGTTACGTAATTTCAGATTTACCGTACTTCGTTACACACCTGACATTCGGAAAGTGCGTTCGTACAGCTCGTTTGAAAAATTTGCACATAAAGTCTATCAAGAATGCCTACACAACAGCAATTTTTCCATGATATTGTGCCACGTTTTCAGTATGAATGGTGCATCAACGTTCAGCTGTTTGTGGGAAGTACTGGGCAAGGTGGATGATGGCAAAGCGATTAAAAAGAAGATAAAGGGTGTTATCTTTGACAGGTTTGGTGTACCTGGATCGTTATCTTCAGATTGTAATTTTTCGGTTAATTCTTCTCCTGAGGTTAATTTTAATAAAGTGGGCAAAGCAGGAGGTTTATTCCTTTATTTTAATCAAATTTTAAATAGTTTGAAGCTTCCTAAAAATAATTTCAAATAATTTTGCTTTTGTTGCTTTAATTGACAGAACACAGACGAATGCTGAATAAAAGATGGATGATATTAGTGGAAGTGGTACTAGCGAGGAGAAGTGCAAAGGGGCTGAGGCACTTGCAGCTTGTTTCTTCTCTGTCTTGCCCAAAGAATACAGAAAAATAAAAGAAATTAGAAAAGAAGAAAAAAGAGATGGTATTTGTTATGAGACTTCTGTTTTACAGTTTTAAGCAGGAGATTTTAAAAGAAAACAGTGTTGTTGTTAACTTTGATCTCCTCTTCCGGATAAGTAATGATTAAATTTGCCATCTTTTGAAATTTACTCATAATTTCTATCCAGTTTTATGGGAACTGCAAAGATTCTGAAATTCGATCTAAGCTTGATCACTGCTGCTTTTTTAAAAAAGTAGATTTGAACTGTCTGTTTGTCGTGACACCTATATTCCAAAATAAATATTTTTGATGAGGGTTACCCTCCTTAAAAAAAAAAAAAGAAGTTGGTGATAGGTAAAGCTAACTCTGAACGTAAATACAAGTATAGTGAAAAGCTAAATACTTTGTTTTTTACAATTATTTTAACTATTCGTATATCTCTATAAAATTAGCAAAATTTTAGTTCACCGGCATTTACGACTCCATGGCAATTTGCTGTCGCTGTATCGTTGGCACTTCTTCCGGCAACTAAATTAGGAATTATGATGCGCGGAATCTATAGAATCTGCTTCTCTGGAGTATTTTTTTTCTTCAACTTACGAGTTCGTCTTAAGGCATGTTGGGAAACGAATGCTTGGGAGAAAAACTATAGTTATTATCATCTGTGTGCTACAGAAGACTTGCCCAAGAAGCAGCTGTTTATCTACAGTAAAAGCGACAACATCTGCTTGTGGAGAAGTATTGAAAAATTTATTGAAAAACAGAAATTGCTGGGCGTTGATGCTACAAAACTGATGTTTGAAGACTCACGACACTGTGAGCATTTTCGACTTTATCGGAATGAATATGTCACGTCATGTATGCAATTTTTTAAATCGCTAGCAGATACAGATGTACATTTGGATAATCCACAGCCACCATTGAGAAGCGAAAGTATTTCAATTTAAAATTTTGACTCAAAAACAAATTTTAGCTAAAAATATTTTATTCAACTGTTGACGTTCGCTGTGCAGACAGTTTATCAAAACAGTTACGGTTAGCAATTTTAATATTGCATACAGTTGATAATTGTTGATGAATAGGTATTGTATTTTATCTATTATATTATTTCTGTTATCTGTATTCAAAAATAACATTGGATCTGTATAAAATCTGTACAAAATGATACCACATTTTTATATCTCTCAGTTCAGTGCACCTCAAGGTTTTTTTTTTCTTCTTCTGAAGTATTCATCTTTTTTTGAAGTAATGATCTTGTTACCGATTACCTTCTTCTTGATCAGTAATATTTGGTTTCTTCACTACATTTGCAATTGTCTATGTTTATCTCAAATTTGTGACTGCTGTGTTCTTTTTCGGTACTACGCAAAGGCTTATATTTCTTTTTGGACTTTGGAGTTTTTTTCGTTTATTCAGTTTTTCAATTTTAAAATTGATCATATTAAATTTTAAGAAAGTCATTCAAACTTTTTCATCGTTCAACATTGCTCCCACTTTTTACCTTAGTTTCTTCGGACTTTTCGTGTTATGCTTATAGTTATTAATAGCGTTCAATAAAAAAAAAAAACGTTGCTTTAATTTTGGCTTGCTGAAAAAAAGGACTGAATTGTTGAAAAAAAAAAAATAAAAGAAAGAAAAATGTTATTTAATTTTCGTAAAATTAAGTTTATAGATTTAGTGCACTGTTGCAAAGGTTGAGGCTGCAATTTTGAAAGGGATATCAAAATAATATGAAATAAATGTTGGTATTGACGAGTGTTTTTTTTTTTTTTCTTTTATAACATAAAGTTTCTTTACAAAGTTTCTTCTTTAAAACTTTTTCTAAGCAAACTGCAGTAAAGTAAAAAAAAAAAAAAAAGCAAACATTGTCATAAAAATTAGGCAAGTTTTCATTTTTTTTT